ATGCTTCTGGAGCTATGGTTACTGCATTTACTTCTCTGCTAGCGCCGCTACAAATACTGCTCTGCTACTGCCGCCACCTGCAGCAGGACTGTTGCTGCTGGTACTGCTGCTGCCAATGAAGCTGCTGGTACTGCTGCTGCCAATGTAGCTGCTGGTACTTCTGCAGATGCTGCTGCTGCTGCTTCCACGTCTGCTCCTCTGCACTACTCAGAAGAGTCATATTCAGATTCGGATTCAAAGGCAAAAGTGTTATCGTCCTCCTCACTCTCCTCTTCTTCGACTTCCGGGATCTTGCTTTTCCCCTTCCTCCTCCAATACGCCATGCCAGGTTCCTCATCCGCTCTTGCAGCTTCACCTTCCGAAACTGCTGCTTCATGGCGTGCTACTGCTTCTGCTGCTGCTACTGCTGCCTTTGCCGCCCTGACTGCTTCTGACCTTGGTCGCTTATTGGCGGACGGGACTGCAGCCATCACTACCGCCCTCGCAGGGCGCCGCTTCTTCGCCTTGCGCCACCTCCCCACGAGCTCATCCCAGTGCATCTCGTAATCCAGGAGGGATATTGTCATCAGATCTGCCAGCTTTGCATCGCAGAGATTCCCCCGGAGCCAGGACTTGATCACATTCTGCCTGCTGAAGCCCCTCTCGCACTCCACGGTGCTGAGAGGGAGCACAGCAACAGCAATCCAGAGCAGAACCAGGTTGGGGTAGGTAGTTTGCCAGTCCGGCGAGCCCAACATATTCTTCAGGCCGTCAAGGAAGCCCGTGTCAGCCTGATGCGTGCGCATGATCGTGCTGAAGTTGCATAACTCCTTCTCCGCCTTCGCCCAGTTTATTCCTGATGGGGGTTGCAGTGACGGCAGGCAAATGAAACGGTTATAATGGGACAAAGGCAACGAGTTCAACATTTGGTACAGCGAGTACGGTGCGGTTTGAAATACAAGGGCAAGTAGAGCTAGCGGTGGGGAAAACAAAACCTGGCAGAGTGTCCGGTGCTGTCGCGTCACGCTTGTAGAGCAGGCGCAGGGAGTGCAACCACTGCAGCAGGCGCCGCTCCCGCTTTGCCGCGCTCTTCGGGTACGACCTCTGCCTGAAGAGTTTAGATCCGTCTAAGGTCACAAGATCCTCCAGCCGCCCCTTGATGTTGTTGATGAGAGCAGTCGCGAAGGCGGTGCAGAGCTTCTTAAGGGACTCCATGTCCCCGCCGCTGACTTGGCCGGGAATGTACTTCTCGTGCAAGACGTAGGAGTGCGTGGTGGGTGTGCCTTCAGCATTGACACCCTCCACGTGAACCCACCGAGACTTGGGATCGGTAAACTTCGCGATGAAGGCGACAAGGTTGTCGTTGCCGTGGCCGAAGGTGTCGCCGAAGTTGACATAGCGGCTCCGCAGGGTGAGAATGGTATTATCGACCATCTGCAGCACATGCGTGACATCCACCTGCAACATTCGGGGATGACCGGTAAACAGGAAAGCAAGTTAGAAATGAAAATAGGTAGCAAAGCTAGGTAGTCACTTTTACCTGTAGACGTTGGAACTTCAGGTTGAGGGTATTAAGCTCCTTCAGCACATCAGCAAGGAAACACAGTAAGAACTGGAATTTCAGACTTGTCACCATGTGGTAAGCCTTACGATCGTACTCAGAGAGCAGGATGATGGCAGAAGGAAAAACCTTTGCTAACCTCGCAATCGCCTCACCTCTCGACAACCACCTGATATTATGTATGCCCTGCAATTCAAGGTTGGTGTCGCTGCCGACATCTTGCAGCTGCTTGAAGCGAGTTTGCACCACAATCGAGCGGCCTAGAATTTCAGCAAGCGAGCGCACTACTTTGTCGACAATGACAAGATCGGGGAAAGCCGTTGCAGTGTCCTTTGCGGCAAGTGCCTCCCTGCAGCAATTAGAGGAGGTATTAGTATACGGGTTTTGTAATCAATGTCCATGACAAGGACTTGACACAACACTCACCTGTGGGCGATGCAGTGGCATGACACAAGGTGAGGTATGCGTGCCCGCAGACGTGCAACCACACCCGTCTGCCCACCGGTCATCACGCTAGCACCGTCAGTGCTTATCCCGCAGATTCGTTGCAGGTCGATGCTGGTGGCTTCAAGATGCGTGAGTAGGATGGCCTCTAGGGAAGCGGCATCGCACTTCTCCACAGTGAGGTGGGCATAGAATTCCGTCACCACTTTGTCGTCCCGCAGAAACGTGAGATGCACAATCATGTGCTTCCCGCGCCTTCGATCGGTGCTCTCATCGAGTTGAATGCCGAGGAAGGGACTTGCTCGAATGTGTTTGAGCTGCTTCGCCTTCAAGTACCCAACCATGGTCTCAACCATCTGTTGGAATCCGTACCTGCCAAAAGCTAACAGCATAGCATTAGAGAGTGCACAAACCAAACATGGGCAACAAATATTGTGCATAAACAAAGCAAAAAAGCGGGGTTCAAGGCTTCAAAGAGAAACTCACTCTGAGTAGTAGGTGCCGTTCTCCTTCAAGGGCATGTCTGGCGTCCCCTGCTAGGCCATGAACTGTACAAGTGAGAAAAAAAAGAACGATAGGTGCGTCAGACTTGCAGATGAAGTGTACAATAGCCATCAAACGCTTCAGCCGCCGTGCGTCATCATCCCCATTCTCGAACTCAGTGATGGACTTCTGCTTCTTGATTTTGCCATCCCGATGCGCCTTTGCTGCCATTGCCGCTTCGTGCTTGCCGCTGTGGTCATGCTTCCTCATCGTTTGTTTCTGGATGTCGATACCACCCTCACCGTAACGGCCGTACAGGTAGCTCGGGTCTCCATAAGCCATGCAAACACTGCATTTCATGCACGGGCGACCTTCTGATGTCTCGGAAATGAAGAGCCAGGGGAAGTGCCGCTGCCATTGTTCCTTGCACTTCAGCTGCAATTCTTCTAGCGTCAAAGGCCATGGTCCTTCGTCGACAGCAGGCGTGCTTGGACCATGGTTGGAGGGGCCAGCGGCAGCTCCAGGCGTGCTCGGACCAGGGTCGGAGGGGCCGGTGGCAGCTTCAGGCGTGCTCGGCCCTGGGTCACAGGAGATAGCAGCAGAAGCCACTGGTGAGCGGGGACGACCGAATGAAAGCTTCCGTTGCTTATACTTCGTGTTGCATGGATAGCGAATGGACAGAATAGGACCGCCAGAGATCTGAATCGTGGCGGACGCAGTGCCAACCACAGTCGGACGGGATTGCGCACGTGGCGGCGATGCCGCTGGGGAAGCAATCGGTGACAGGCTCGCAGGCCATGGCTCGATTTCTACTGCAGGCATCAGACTGTCGAACGGATTGCTGTTAGGCTCAGGTACGTCCGGTACAGGGGCAGCAGGCAGGGGGGAAATGGGGACTGCTGCGGGTGGCTGGGTGGGGCGACATCCTAAGAAATCCAAGCCCCCGAGCTTCACAGAAGCTGTAGTGGGGGGTGAGGGCACAGCAGTCTTCTCGGTCGGGGCACTAGAGCCCGCAGTATCTGATGCCATGATGGCAACTAGCGGGGGCAGTAACAACAGTCGAAGAGGTGGAAACTAGGAGGAGCTCAGAGGGGAGCTCATAGTGAAGGCTGATGCAAGCACGGGGGACGATGAATGGAGGCAAAAATGACCTAGACTAAGCGAAACTCCAGGCTCTTGATGAGCAAGTGACGCGTCGCACAGTAAGAGAGAGGAACGATGCATGGTTGGGGAGCCGTCCATCGTTGCGCGTCGCCAGCCAATGAACTCTTTCCTGCTGGGCACATAATGTGCTGGCAGGATTTTGGTTCGTAATGTGGGCGTGCTGGCAGTCAGTTGCACCGACAGCACGCTAAGGGACAGCAGTCCCGCTGCTTGCTGCATGCCACTGTTTCCACGGTAGCTGTGAAGTGCACCGACAGACAGCTATGAGACAGAAGCGTGGCAGCTTCTGAATCAGAAAATGCACTGTGGGGGGATGATGCACGCCAGCGGGGCTGGTGTACCACGCGGTGCAATGATCACGCAGATTTGAAATTGGTGCCGAATCGTGAAAGGAAGTGGCCTTCTAGGCTAGTGGGAAAACTTGTCGGTCTCAGACGGAAAAAAACGCGTTGTCTGCAGACTCAGACGAAATATAACTTAGGGTCTGATTATTCAGACGAAAATAAAAACCTTATCTTATCATTCAGATGAAAAATTCTGGGTGGTCTAAACTTTCAGATAAACCTAAAAAAACACGTCTGAAAATCAGACCATCAGACCGTTTTCGTCTGATAAAAAGGGCCCTGTTGTCAGAAACCCAGTCACTAACCACTGGGTTAAAAGGGCTTGTTAAATAACGGGTAAGTGCGCCCATAACCCCCCAGGCTCTGCACCTGTGGCCCTTCTCCGATGATCTTTTTAAGGGTAACCCAGCGGGTCATTCGACACCCCCCCTCGCTGGGATAGGTGGAAGACACAAGAGCCTCTGCAGCGCTAGCACTGGGACTAGAACCCAAGACCTTTGGCTCTGATACCATGTCAGAAACCCAGTCACTAACCACTGGGTTAAAAGGGCTTGTTGAATAGCGGGTAAGTGCGCCCATAACCCCCCATGCTCTGCACCTGTGGCCCTTCTCCGATGATCTTTTTAAGGGTAACCCAGCGGGTCATTCGACACCTGTTGCCAAGAGGAGAAATTATTATAGCGGGGGATCATGTGTGATTGTGTAAGGGTGGATTTACACAGCACTTTTCCGCATCAGGGTCTTTACACTCGACCACTCTGAAAACACAGGGTCCTGTATAGATCCAGTTTTTTTTCATAATGGTAAAAAACTAAACCACTTTAAAACATAAGGGTTTAACACCCACCCCACCCTTATTATAAGGGCTGTAAGGGTATTGTTGGGCTGAGAAAAAGCCCTTAGGATCTTTTGCAGAGACTAAGTCCCAGCTTGTAGAGACTTGAGACTTGGAGTAGTGCAGCGGAAGTTGAGGCAGTTAAACCCTTGTACTAGTATGTGAGAACAAGTGATTAGTTAAGGGAACAAGCATACAGCAATATATAGAAGATAAGAAAGCAGTTGTAGAGTACAGTTACAGGAACGGTTTATCGAGTCGTACAGCGACTCGATTGCTACTTCGGTTACCATCCATGATGCTGTAACGGTCAGTCGCAACCTCCAGTTGCGACCTTTCGCATTCTTTGTCCGCCCCCTCGTGTAACCTCCGTTGACTCGCGTGCTCCCTTGTAGTCTTCCTCGAGTGTAGTGTTACACTTCAGAAACGCTTAAGTTCTTTGAGATATTTCCAACACTCCCCTTCGTTTCTGGAGTGCTGTTATGTTCGGATCTGGTGACGTTTGTCTGTCCGGTCAGCAGCATGCAGTGGTCGAATTTTGTCTTCGCCAATTTCTTCGTCAAATAGTCTGCGGCCATTTCTGTCGTCGGGCAGTAACTGAGTTGAAGTCTCCCCTTCGCGATTTCATCCTTGACGAAGAAGTACCGTAGGGCGATGTGCTTGGTTCGGTTGGCGAAGCCATCCTTGTTCGCGATTTTGATCGCGGATTGGTTGTCGCAGAGGAGTGAGAAGGCGGGTAGGGTCGCGATCTTCGCTTCCTCGAGTAACTCCCGTAGGTAGAGTCCTTCCTTGGTCGCAGTACAAAGGGCGATATACTCTGCTTCAGCCGAGGATAGTGCGATTAACTCCTGCTTGCTCGACTGCCAGGAGATAGTTCCGATGGGCTCTAGTCGGTAGATGTAGCCCGTCCTGGATCGTCGATTTTCCTTATCTCCCGCGTGGTCGGCGTCGACGTATCCGAGTAGTCGTACGGACGGTGTTGTTGCTTTGCTGTAGGTAAGCCCGATCGTCGGCGTGGAGACGAAGTAGAGTAGTGCCCGGTTGAGCTCCTCGAGATCTTCCTGTTCCGGTTGCTTCAGATGTGTCGCCAGTTGACTAGCACTGTAGGACAGGTCGGGTCGGCAGGTTACTGCTGCGAATAGTAGGCAGCCGAGCTTCTGTTGATACTCCTGGATTTGCTTCGCGGGGAGTTTTGCGGAGGCGCTGTTGTTATTTGCGTAGCGGTAGGGGGTCGGGATCGTAGTCGGCGTCAGTCCGAATTTCTTCGCGATAGTGCCTGCGTACTTTCCAGCGTGTAGGTAAAACGCCGAGTTGTCTTCGACGACATTCAGTCCTAGGTACTGGGTCACTTCGTCGGACACCGTGAGTGTTAAGTCTTCTTTCAGCTCCCCTTCGAACCAGGTAGCGATGTCGGTAGTGGAGCCGATGTAGAGCAGGTCGTCGACGTAGACGATGAGTAGGACATACTCTCTTCCCTTCTGCAGTCGGTACATCCCTTGGTCATGCGGCAGTTGTAGGAATCCGATTTTTGCGAGACGGCCGTGAAGGTGCTGCTGCCAGAGCCGTGGGGCTTGCTTGATCCCGTATAGGGATTTCGTCAGTCGGCATACTTTCGTGGGGTCGTCGATGAATCCGTGGGGTTGTTCGACGAAAATCTCAGCGTCCACAGGTGCGTATAGGAACGCATTGGCGACGTCGATTTGGCGTAGTGGTAGTGTCTTCGTGGCCGCGACGGCGAGTAGGATGCGTAATGAGGTGTGACGGGAGACTGGAGCGAAGGTTTCTGTGTAGTCGGTCCCGTATCGTTGGTCGAAGCCTCGTACGACCCATCGAGCTTTGAATCGTTCGATGGAGCCGTCTGAGTTGGTCTTGATGCGGTACACCCATTTCCCTGAGAGGACGTTTTTTCCGTTGATGCTTGTTGCAGGTACCAGTTTCCATGTTTTCCGGTCTTGCAGAGCCTTTAACTCATTTTCCATCGCTTCCTTCCATTTCGCCTTATGTTCCCCCCCCAGAGCCTGCGACAAGGTCGAAGGTTCTGGCGGAGAAGGCGGCGGCGGATGCTAGACGGAGACCCAGAGGCCTAGAATCTGCAGTCCCGTGGGTGTGTGTCGAGGGGAATTTTCATTCCCGGAATAAGCTGCTTCGTCACCGTCTTCTGGGTCAGGTAAGAAGTTGGGACCGATGCGTTCTGAAACATTTGTGTCGACTGGGTGGGGTGTAATGTAACCTTGGTCAGCGAAGTGGTAAAAGGTGTCGAGGTTGTTGCTATCGAGAGGATTGTCTTCGTCGAGTGGAACAGGTACGGAACAGAATGGGAGTGGTCCGGCAGCTTCCGAGGCTTCAGGTACGTCTTCTTCTGCTGCGTCAGCTTCGGCAGCACGGTCGGCGAAGGAACGAAGTCCCGAGAAGCCGTCGGTGGGGTCTTGTGTGTTGGCAATGTTGTCCAGGTAATGCTGCAGCGTCAGTCGCTCGTAGAAGATACACTGAGGGAAAAAACCGTCCGGATGTTTGGCAATAAGTTGGGTTTTTAGGCTTTGAGACTACTGTATGGTAAACCTGCAAGATGCACGGTGGTACATGTTGGGAGAGGCACAAAGTGGATGCGTTCACTACACTAAGAACTAGAATAGTACATTGGATCTAACTCATACTCCAAAAGATATACAACGAGTACATCCGGACAGTTTTTTCCCAGGACAAAGAGCAAACTTCCGAACAACGTTTCTAGTACCTAGTCCACCTACTCTTGGCGTTGATCACCATCCACACCCTCCTAGGCATGTTATCTATGTGGTTAGTGCAGACCTTTGCATGAAGCTTCTTGCACTCTTCCTTGACCCACCATTTTGCATAAGGGGGTGAGCACAAGGAAAATTGCGAAGTATTTGAGCGTATGCATAAGTATTGTGCACGAATTCAGATTGAATGTAATCTCTGAGACTAGCCAAGCCGAGGGGTGTCCAAAGATGCCATTACTTGAATGGTCCCGGCTTATCATGGGTTGTTTTCGTCGAATCAGAGTAGGGTGAAATCACGTATAGAGTGGCAAAATCTAGCATACCCGCCACGAAACTTAGGGTAACAGAGCACGGTCGATTGAGCATCCTTTCATTGTTAGAATCATGTTAAAATCCGCGAGTCTAGTGACAGTGCATCAGTTGAAGAAGTCTCGACTGTTTGGGAAGAATATCAGGGTTGAGGTCTGGTGAGGAAGAGGGGCACTCCAGAGCTACATATCCATGCTCTCCGAGCCATTCCAAGCCTAGGCAGGGAAAATGACATGGAATGCCTTGGAGAGCATAAGTATGTTGCGCTGGAGTGACCCTTTTTCTCACCAGACCTCAATCCAGATATTCTTCCCAAACAGTCGAGGTTTCTTCGACTGCTGCCCCGTCACTAGACCCGCGGATTTTAACATGGTTCACACAGTGAAAGGATGTTCAGTCGACCGTGCTCTGTTACCCTAAGATTCGTGGCGGGAATGCTAGATTTTGCCACTCTATTCGTGATTTTACCCTAGAACGATACGACGAAGACGACCCATGATAAGCCGGGACCATTTAACTAATGGCATCTTTGGCCACCCCTCGGCTTGGCTAGTCTCTGAGATAACATTCATTCAGAATTTGTGTACAATACTTATGCATACGCTCAAATACTTTGCAATTTTCCTTGTGCTCACCCCCTTATGCAAAATGGTGGGTCCAGGAAGAGTGCGAGAAGCTTCATGCAAAGGTCTGCACTAACCCCATAGATAACATGCCTAGGAGGGTGCGGATGGTGATCAACGCCAAGAGTAGGTGGACTAGGTACTAGAAACGTTGTTCGAAAGTTTGCTCTTTGTCTTGGGAAAAAACTGTCCGGATGTACTCGTTGTATATCTTTTGGAATATGAGTTGGATCCAATGTACTATTCTAGTTCTTAGTGCTGTGAACGCATCCACTTTGTGCCTCTCCCAACGCATACCACCATGCATCTTGCAGGTTTACCATACAGTAGTCTTAAAGCCTAAAAACCCAACTTCGTGCCAAACATCCGGACGGTTTTTTCCCTCAGTGTAACATCACGTGATGCCACGGTATTTTTGTCTTGTATGTCGAGAATTTTCCACGCGTGAAAATGTTTTGCGATGCCGAGGTGTAGTCCCCACCGAGCTCGTTGTGTGAAGCGTCCTGCTCGGGCTGTGTGGGGTCTGTACTGTACCATGCAGCCAAAAACTCTGAGTAATTTTGTGCTGCCCCTTTTTCTTGTCCACAACAGGTGCGGTGATGCGTTGTTGGGAAGTGATGACGAGGACAGCAGGTTGTGCAGGTGAACAGCATGTGTCATCGCGTCGGACCACAGTGTGGTTGGCAGTCTCATCCCCTGAAGCAGTTTTCGCATTGTCGTCTGCAAGGTCCGATTCATGCGTTCTGCGACCCCCTGCTGTTGGTGAGCATAGGGCAGGGACACCAGGCGTCTGATTCCTCTTTCCGCCAGATAGGTCCTGAAGCGTTGTGACTGGTATTCCAGTGCACCGTCTGACTGGAAGCTCTTGAGTTTGAGTCCTGATTCTCGTTCGGCGATGGGAAGCCATGTTGTGAAGGCTTCGAAGGCTTGATCGCGCGTCTTGAGATTGAAGTGCCAGACATATCTTGTTGCGGCGTCGATGAACGTGATGACGTAGTTGAAGTCGGCTTCGGTGTCGTCTCGAGGCATGTTTAAAATATCGCTGTAGACCTTTTCCATCGGAGCGTAAGTAGGTGCGCTTGGGTTGTGATGGGATGGGAAAGGTTGATGAGGAAGATCTGCTTCGGGGCATGTGAAGCACCGTGCGCGTGGTCGTCGAAGTTCTTGGCCGCTCGTCGTCAGAAGGGCGTTGCGTTCTAACACATCTGCTTGGATTGTTTGAAGTATCGTGCTGTTTGCAGGATGTCCGAGACGTTGGTGCCAGATGTCGTCGGGAGCGCGGTGACCAGGCGAGCGGTGGTAGATGTCGGCGTTGGAGAAGAACGCGACGACCGAGGCGGGACTTCGACAAGCTTCTCGTGTGGCGGGCATAAGTTGGTCTGCTTCGGTTGGTGGTCCTCGTGTCGCTGGTGGTGGTACTCAGCTGGGTCCTGCTGCCGATACTGCAGGTGATGGTTTTGTTAGGACACGTGCGGGTACTTGTCTTTCTTGTCTGATAACTGCTAATGCTCGTGTTCTCTCTGCTGCAGGTATGGTGTTGGAGTGCCAGAAGCCGTCACTGTCGAAGTCGGGATCAAGATCCGGCGGGTGAGTCCAGGCGGCGAATGATACGATACCGTCGCTGTCGGCAGTACCGCGGTCGGGGACGAAGTCCAACACGAAGACGCCGGACTTCAGGAGGGCACGACCGATGAAGAGGCCGCCCTTCCCGTGGTAAAGTCGAAACTCGTTGGAGTAGGAGTCGCACTCCAGGTGAATCCCCTTGGCCATTAGTTGGCTTACGCTTAGTAGGTTGTATCCCAGATTGTCGACAATGAGCACTTTGTTGAGCTGAAGTATGACGTTTGTCTCCATCGATTGTAACTGAACCACGCCTTGTCTGTTTGTCTTCAGGTTTTCGTTGTTGGCGACGGTGATGACGACGTCGCGGTTGAGGCGTTTCTCCTGTTGCACGAAGCGTCCCGAGGAGCACATGTGTTGACCGCAGCAGCTGTCCAAGAACCAGGTGTTTCGCCCGGTGGGTTCGGCGTTGGCGACCGCAGCATATGTTGGATTGACTTGAAGGCCTTGTGAGCGCGGTGGCGGCAGCTCTTCTTCGTCTGGCGCGTAGGTGGGTGGTGATCCGGGTGCGCAGTTGTCGATGTGTACCATGCAATTGATGATGTTTGGTGTTTGTTGTGCAGATGTTGAAGAGCGCCTTGGGGGACTTGCTTGAGTGGAAGCGACTTGTGGGTCTGCTGGACGGTAAACGCGAGGGCGGTTGCAGTTGACCTTGGAGTGCCCGGAAGTCTGGCAGTTGTGGCAGAACGGCGGCACGAAGGTAAGTCCCCTGTTGTCGCGTTCTTGCTTGCCGCGTCGATTGTAGGTGTTGTCGTTTCTTCGTTGAGTGTAGAAGACTAACTGCTGTTGCTTTCTTGGTTGTCTTTCCTCGAACAGATCCATCTCCTGTTGTTCAGCGTGAAGCTCGGCGCAGAGGTGCATCTCCGAAATTCTTCCGTGGGCTCGAAGAAGTGATCGTGTGGTTCTCCATTCTGGCCCGAGCCCGGCGAGGACAAGTGTCACGAAGCTTTCTTCAGTGATCGTTCCTCCGCACCGAAGCAGGCGGTCGCGGAGGGTCTGGCAGCGACTCATATACTGCATCGCCTTTTCCCCGGTCTTCATCTGTATTGTTGTCAGCTGTTGCATGAGTCTGCTTTGTGTCACGCTGTCGTTTGCTTGATAGAGGCACTTGAGATGATGCCATGCGAGTTCCGCGGAGTTTCCATAACTTCGATACGTTCTGATGCTCTGCTGCTCTTGTGGTGACAGGTTTCTCAGGAGTACCGTATACGCCAGCAGCGACTGATACGTGAAGATTTCTTGTTCCTTCCCAGTGCCGTTGCTTGGGAATGGCAGGGACCCGTTGAAGTATCCCAGAAGATGCGCGGCCTCCATCAGCAGCTCGAACTCGAAGCTCCAGGTAAAGAAGTCGTGTCCGTTGAACGGTGAGGATGTCTGAAGTTTAATTACGTGTGAGAACTGTGCCTGAAGACTTAAGATTTCGTTCGGTGTTTGTTGTGATGCAGCTGCTGTTGGCTGGGCACGGGGCGGCATGAACTCGAACGTCCCCGGTGAAGAGTGATAAGGCGCAAAAGTAGGTGCTTGATTGTGTCGCCCGAAGGATGAGTTGTCGAGGCTCATCGGCGCTAATCCCATATTCCCTCCATTGCTCTGTGTTGAGTGCGCAGGTGTCCTTGTCTGCTGCTGCTGGTCGAAGTGTGACATGAAGCTGAAGAATCTCTCCATGAGATTCGGGTCCACACTTGAAGAGGGAGACGGAGTCACCATCTCCGGTGCTCTTCCCGTTGTTTCTTGAGCAATCCCGGTCTCTGTCTGCAGTCCTGAGGTGTGCAGACCAGAGTTGCCGTGTTGAGTTTCTTGGGCGCTGGGTGAGCCCGTAGAGACTTTCTTGCCCTTGCTGTCCATGTCTTGTAATCAATGAAGTCGTTGAATTGAGTTGAGTTGCAGGTTGTTGATGGAGCGTAGTTGCTGGGAGTTTGGTCTCTGACCAGCTCTCATACCATGTTGGGCTGAGAAAAAGCCCTTAGGATCTTTTGCAGAGACTAAGTCCCAGCTTGTAGAGACTTGAGACTTGGAGTAGTGCAGCGGAAGTTGAGGCAGTTGAACCCTTGTACTAGTATGTGAGAACAAGTGATTAATTAAGGGAACAAGCATACAGCAATATATAGAAGATAAGAAAGCAGTTGTAGAGTACAGTTACAGGAACGGTTTATCGAGTCGTACAGCGACTCGATTGCTACTTCGGTTACCATCCATGATGCTGTAACGGTCAGTCGCAACCTCCAGTTGCGACCTTTCGCATTCTTTGTCCGCCCCCTCGTGTAACCTCCGTTGACTCGCGTGCTCCCTTGTAGTCTTCCTCGAGTGTAGTGTTACACTTCAGAAACGCTTAAGTTCTTTGAGATATTTCCAACAGGTATTTTTACCCTGATATCCTGAGGCCACTGAACGCGCAGAAGTAGGAATACGCCCTAACCCTCGAAACACAAGATCACACCTGGTCCTCGAACCAGCTAACGACAGCTCGGGTTGCGGATGCTATGAGAGAGGGGATCAAGACAAAGAAGGTGATGAAGGCAAAGGCCGTTGCGGCCTTGGTGCGCGCGCAGAAGCTGGAGAAGAGCCCCATCTGCACGCAGGTGAATGAGGCACAGGACAGGAGATCAGCGCGCTTGAGCAGAGAGACGTGCAGTCTCATAGCATTCACCCCCTCATCTTATGATCGCTCACACGGCAGAATGATGGAGACGGTCAGCTTTGGCTATGGCATGCTGGAATCATTTTTACAGCACAAGAAGCATACCTGGCAGTACCCTGGCTGCACCATTCCGGACCCCTTATCCGCAAACGTTGTGAGACCAGCCGCAGCAGAGGCGCCCGCCAACGCAATCCACGCCACTAACTGCACCGGGCATGTCGCAAGGCAGGGCGAGCGAGCGGCCAGAGCACAGCCCATGAAACACCAGATGATGTCACCCGGAGGTGCAGATGATGTCACCCGGAGGTGCAGATGATGTCACCCGGAGGTGCAGATGTGTAGATTGAAGACAAAAGAGGCAGTCTTCCATAAAGCAGCAGCGGGTGAAACAAGCAACAACTCAGTCGCATGTGCAGCAATGGTTGAGGGTGGATGAGCAAGCAAGGTCCCACATTGGCACGAGGGAAGGAAGACCCGAGCAAAAAAGGAGAGCAGGGGCATTGGAGGCAAGGATAGAGGAACGGTGAGGAGGGAGCAAGGAGGCAAGAGGCAAGGAGCAAGAAGAGGTGGGTGGCACTGACAAAGTCGAGCAGCGCGAAGAGTGTGATGCGCCACTTGCGCGTCATGAGGCGGCCGATGGAGTGCAGCAGGTGAGCGAGACACCACGCCGCCACGGCCGTCATGGCCGCCACCATGAAGATGAACGCCTGGATGGGGATTGCGGGGAAGGTGGGTGGGCGGGTCACCACGTGTGGGTGCTGCTATGGTGGGCGCGTGGGGACGTGCCAGCAAGGTTATGCATGTTGCTGGAAATGGATGGCTTTCGCTGTTATTGCTATGATGCGCGTCTACCCTTGGCGATTACTACCCTTGGCGATCACTACCCTTGGCGATCACTACCCTTGGCGATCACTACCCTTGGCGATCACTACCCTTGGCGATCACTATCCTTGGCGATCACTACCCTTGGTGATCACTCCAACACTGCAATACAGTCCAGCACAAACTACCACTGCAACTTCTCTCGTACCACCGCCGCACTGACCTGGCAGCACCGCACTGCACCACTCTGACCGTGTAGTACCACACTGCATAACACTGACCTGGTATTACCACACTGACCTGGTACCACACTGCACAACACTGACCTAAAAGTACCACACTGCACGGCATGGACCTGGCAGCACGGCACGGACCTGGTACTACCGCACTAACTTGGCAGCATGGCACGGACCTGGCAGCACGGCACGGACCTGGTAGTACCGCACTGCACGGCACGGACCTGGCAGCACGGCACGGACCTGGCAGCACGGCACGGACCTGGCAGCACGGCACGGACCTGGCAGCACGGCACGGACCTGGCAGTACGGCGCGGACCTGGCAGCACGGCGCGGACCTGGCAGCACGGCACGGACCTGGCAGCACGGCACGGACCTGGCAGCACGGTGCGGACCTGGCAGCACGGCACGGACCTGGTAATACTGGAAGAACATGCCGTTGGCGCTGGAGGCGATCATCACGCCCAGCGCGATGGCAGCCGTCGCCACCTGCAGCAGCCGCCAGAAGATAGTCTGCCCGCGCGCAAAGATCCGAGTCTCGCCGCCCAGCCCGCCACCCATCTCCACCAGCTTCTCTGATCGACCTGCTACGACAGCAGAGTGGACGATTGGGGAGCACGCGAGAGCGGAGGGTCATTATTCGGAGAAGGGTCCAGCTTTCATCGGAGCAGAGCACACGGCGGCACGCTGCGACGGCAGACACGAGGGCGGTGAGGCGGATGGGGCAGCGGCGCGAGGTGGGCACAGGGGAAGCGCGAGGTGGGCACAGGGGAAGCGCGAGGCGGGCACAGGGGAAGCGCGAGGTGGGCACAGGGGAAGCGCGGCGAAGAGGAGCGAAGGAGACGCAAGGAGAGGTACAGGAAGATGCGGCAGTGCAGTAGTGGGTTGGAGAGGAGTGGGGAAGAGGGGAGGAGAGTGACGGCAGCGTGGCGTGAGTGAATCACTGGGAGGACTTGCGCGGAGCCTCAGCGCGGCAAAGGGCACGGCGACACACGAGTGCCTCAGCGCTCTCAGAAAGAGTCCAATCATGCGCACTCGCACTCGGACACGCACTCGCACACGCACACGCACTCGCACACGCACACGCACTCGCACACGCACTCGCACTCGCACACGCACTCGCACACGCACACGCACTCGCACACGCACTCGCACACGCACTCGCACACGCACTCGCACTCGCACACGCACACGCACTCGCACTCGCACTCGCACACGCACTCGCACACGCACTCGCACACGCACTCGCACACGCACTCGCACTCGCACTCGCACTCGCACACGCACTCGCACTCGCACTCGCACACGCACTCGCACTCGCACACGCACTCGCACTTGCACACGCACACGCACTCGCACACGCACTCGCACTCGCACACGCACTCGCACACGCACTCGCACACGCACTCGCACTCGCACACGCACTCGCACACGCACTCGCACTCGCACTCGCACTCGCACACGCACTCGCACACGCACTCGCACTCGCACTCGCACTCGCACACGCACACGCACACGCACTCGCACACGCACTCGCACTCGCACTCGCACTCGCACTCGCACACGCACTCGCACTCGCACTCGCACACGCACTCGCACTCGCACACGCACACGTGCAGAGCACGTAACTTCAACCCAACCGAATGAGTGCACAGCGCGATACAACTGTCCTGCTGCCACCGCGTTACATGCACTATCCAGGTAACCAGGTTACAGAGTTACCAGCCCCCCAGTCTCGATGTTCCACTCACTGGCGGGGCGGCCACCGGCCTGTGGCAGTGCTCCTCCTAGGCCGCCACGTGGCGGTGACCCTCCTGCAATGCCACGCGGCGGCGAGCCTGCTGACGTGGACAGCGGGATGGGTCCACCTGGTTGCGCCCCCCCCTCCTCCAGTATTCCTCTCTGCCCTAGTGACGTGTTATGTGCCGCCATGGCTGGTGCTGCTATAAATGTCGCTCGAGAATCGCTGGCTCAACCTCGGCGATGAAAGGTCAGCGACGGGGGAGACGACGATGAGAATAAGGAGTAGGAAGCGAGAAGACGAGGGAGCGGGTGTAAGCAGGCTCAACGCGCTGACGGTTGGAGTTCGTTGGAGGCGAGAGAGGGAAACGGGACGGGAGGGCGGAAGGGATGGGCGGAGGAGGACGAGCACGCCCGCGCGAAACGCCCCAGGCATGAGGCGCGGGCGTGACGCCATCAACAGGAGAGCACAGCGGCGGTAGGCGCGCGGCGGGCTGGCACGAGGCGGTGAGCGAGAGCCGTCTGGAGATAAGCGAGACGAGACCGCGCAAAGACGAAGGGGACTGAAGCCTGCGCTTCCCCGCTCCCCAACCAGCGAAGGCGCACCACGCGGGGCGCGGGGGAGAGGGCGGACAGCATCCTGGCGGGTAATGTGGGGGGCGAGGGGCGGGAAGGGAGGGGCGGAGGGCGAGGGGAGGGGGCGAGGTCAGGCGCCAGTCGAGCTCGACAGGGCTGCGAGGCCGCCAGCTGGACTGGCCGCGAGGCATCGCCGCGTGGTGGGCGATAGCGACTGCTGTGCGGGCTCGACGAGACGTGCATGCTGCTGACCCCCGCCCCTTGCGGCAGTTCCCAGGAGCGACGCTGTGGCATCTGGCAGGACGAAGCGGAAATAGCGCTTATAGCGAACATCAGAACTTAGTGGAAGGTCGGCCTTAGGCTTGTTTACACGATAAACTCACTAAACCGATAGCAATATCACATGGACATACATTCACATATGGTATGACAATCATGGAGTCTTCACGCCACTAGCAGCTGCAGGGCCCTGTCACGGTCGTTGCCGCAGAGAGCCAGACAGCCAGCCACGGCCACGGGGTGGAAGCCCATTTCTCTGAGCAGTGTGTAGGAGTTGCAGAAGTCCACCACCTGCCGGGTTGATCACACACGTGCGCGCAGAGACCCATTCGTGATCCATTTGTGTGCACGGAGCAATGCAGGAGCTGGTGAGGGCACGTGGTGTCCACTGGCAACGGCACTCATATTGCGCTTGTGCAATGGGCAAGGCACGAGGGGAAAGAACCAGCAGAGCAGCAAGGAGCAAGAGTGGGAGCCACAGGGGCACCTGAGAGTGCGAGTCGCCCTGAATGGCGAGCGCCATGATGACGGCCTCCCGCTCCATGCCCATCTGCACGTACTTGGCGGCTCGTGGGTCCAGCTGGGGGGGTGGGGAGAGCCGGGAGAAGAGGCACAACGGCACAATGGCAGGCAGCGCAAAGCGCAGACGCCATGGCGCCTGCTGCTCTGCACGTGGATTGATCTGAAAGAAATGGGTGGAGCACGGGGGGGAGGGGGGAGCACTCGCGCCCTGCCTTGAGATCGCTCCACCAGCCGTCCCCGCCACACCCGTTCCTCGCGCTTCACACCCACACGAGTGGGCAGCCTCCTCTCCACGTCACAGTCTAGCGAGGCTGGGGTGGGACGTGGGGTGCTTCAAACCGCCCACCGCACCCCTCGCACCCCTTGCATGCCCCCCCCTGCCACCGCACCCTTCCTCTCCCTGTACCTCTCGCTTCACCGCCACGCTGGTGGGCTGCCTGAGCGCGGACGCGTGGGACAGCAGCTGCTTCTCCACGTCAAAGTCAAACGCCGCTGCGCTCACCGGCACCGGCTGCACTGGAGCCAGAGGGGGGGCTGCAAGCACAGCACGGGGGAGAGACAGAGAGGGAGGCGGATAGAAGAGGGTTTAAGACAGTGGAAACACATGTGGCTGTGGGGAGCACACCGGCACCGCCTGCACTGGCGCTAGTGGGGGCTGGGTGCTGCACAGAGGGAAGAAGCAGAGATGTGAGAGCAAGGGGGAAGTGACCAGTGGCTGCACTAACCGGCTGGCAGCACTGGCTCTAGAGGAGGTTGCTGAGGGGAGCACAGGCGGCTGCGAGGAAGAGGAGGAGGAAGACGTGGAGAGGCAAAGGGCAAGTCGAATGTGGCTCACTGGGTGGCTGCAGTGCAGACAGCAGAGGGGGCGCATGGAGAAAGCGGCTGAGAAGGCACTGGGCAGGCGAGGTGAGACCAGAGAATTGGCGGTGACTAACAAGCAGGCTGCCCAGCACAGGGGGAACGAGGCGAGGAGAGGAAGCAGGTGCAGGGGAGGAGAGCGCGGCGCGGGAAACGAGAGAGCAGGGCAGGAGAGGAGAGAGGAAGGGGGATGCAGGAGAGGAAAGCGGGTGCACGAGAGGAGAGGGGATGCAGGAGAGGAGAGGGGGTGCAGGAGAGACGAGGGGGTGCAGGAGAGGAGAGAGGGGTGCAGGAGAGGAAAGAGGGGTGCAGGGAGGTAAATAGGCAACCAGGGACTCAAGTGTGCAAACAAGGCACCACAACTCGCAGCTCACCTGCGCGACTCGCAGCTGACCTGTGCAACTCGCAGCTGACCTGTGCAACTCGCAGCTGACCTGTGCGACTCGCAGCTGACCTGTGCAACTCGCAGCTGACCTGTGCAACTCGCAGCTGACCTGTACAACTCGCAGCTGACCTGTGCAACACGCAGCTGACCTGTGCAACTCGCAGCTGACCTGTGCAACTCGCAGCTGCCCTGTGCGAATCGCAGCTGCCCTGTGCGACTCGCAGCTGACCTGTGCGACTCGCAGCTGACCTGTGCGACTCGCAGCTGACCTGGGCGACTCGCAGCTGACCTGGGCGACTCGCAGCTGACCTGGGCGACTCGCAGCTGACCTGCGCGACTCGCAGCTGACCAACACGACTCGCAGCTGACCCGCGGGACTCGCGACTCGCAGCTGACCTGCGCAACTCGCAGCTTACCTGCGCGACTCGAAGCTGACCTGCGCGACTCGCAGCTGACCTGTGCAACTCGCAGCTGACCTGTGGAAGTCGCCGATGACCTGTGCGACTCGCAGTTGACCTGTGCGACTCGCAGCTGCCCTGTGCGACTCGCAGCTGACCTGGGCGACTCGCAGCTGACCTGCGCGACTCGCAGCTGACCTGCGCGACTCGCAGCTGACCTGCGCGAATCGCAGCTGACCTGCACGACTCGCAGCTGACCTGCGCGACTCGCAGCTGACCTGAGAGACTCGCAACTGACCTGCGCGACTCGCAACTGACCTGCGCGACTCGCAGCTGACCTGCGTGACTCGCAGCTGGCCTGTGCGACTCGCAGCTGACCTGTGCGACTCGCAGCACACCTGTGCGACTCGCAGCTGACCTGTGCGACTCCCAGCTGACCTGTGGAAATCGCAGCTGACCTGTGCGACTCGCAGCTGACCTGTGCGACTCGCAGCTGACCTGTGCGACTCGCAGCTGACCTGTGCAACTCGCAGCTGACCTGTGCAAATCGCAGCTGACCTGTGCGACTCGCAGCTGACCTGTACGACTCGCAGCTGACCTGTGCGACTCGCAGCTGACCTGTGCGACTCGCAGCTGACCTGTACGACTCGCAGCTGACCTGTGCGACTCGCAGCTGACCTGTGCGACTCGCAGCTGACCTCTGCGATTCGCAGCTGACCTGGGCGACTCGCAGCTGACCTGCGCGACTCGCAGCTGACCTGTGCGACTCGCAGCTGACCTGTGCGACTCGCAGCTGACCTGTGCGACTCGCAGCTGACCTGTGGAAATCGCAGCTGACCTGCGCGACTCGCAGCTGTCCTGTGCGACTTCGCAGCTGACCTGTGCAACTCGCAGCTGACTTGTGCAACTCGCAGCTGACCTGTGCAACTCGCAGCTGACCTGTGCCACCCGCAGCTGACCTGTGCGACTCCAGCTGTCCGGTGCGACTCGCAGCTGACTTGTGCAACTCGCAGCTGACCTGTGCGACTCGCAGCTGACCTGTGCCACCTGCAGCTGACCTGTGCCACCCGCAGCTGGGTCTTGATGGCCATGGCGATGGGCGCGGGGCCTGCACCCATGGCAGGGAGGAGAGGTTCGGGTGAGTGAGGTGTGGGCTGCAAGCAGTACTTGCGACCAAAATGCAGGCGACTGAAATTTTTGGGGGACCACAAGGAGGATTGTGGTTGACGCCAAGAGGAGCAGCGCGGTAAGGAGGAGGGGGCAAGAGTGGCGGAGGGGGCAAGAGAGGCGGAGGGGGCAAGAGAGGCGGAGGGGGCAAGAGAGGCGGAGCGGGCAAGAGAGGCGGAGGGGGCAAGAGAGGCGGAGGGGGCAAGAGAGGCGGAGGGGGCAAGAGAGGCGGAGGGGGCAAGAGAGGCGGAGGGGGCAAGAGAGGCGGAGGGGGCAAGAGAGGCGTTAGAGAGGAACTTCTCCCCGCCCGCCCAACACCGCAACTTCTCCCCGCCCGCCCAACACCGCAACGTCTCCCCTATAGGGACGTGGTCGGTCCCAGAATCAACCCCCACAGCCCCCAACGTGCCACCTGCCGGGCTGTGCTCATCCCTCCTCCCCCGTGCCCCCCTCCCCTCCCGCCACCCTGCCATCTTCACCACGTGCGCCCCTACCGCCCAACTTTCCCCCACCCGCCCAACTTCCCGCACCCAAAGCACCTGCAGCAAGTTCTGAAGCCCCGCCACCTGCGCCGTGTCCGCCCATTCCGCCCATGCCCCCGCCAGGCGCACCCGCGCCGACGGCAGACATATGCGGCATGTGGAGGGACGTGCCGCCCGCGCCGGGGAGCGGGGAGGCGGAGGCCACGGGGTGCGCCACGCGCGGGTACATGGCGGCGGGCCCGCTGGCGGGAGCGGCCGCGCGGCGGTCGTATGCCCCCACGGCGGGGTACGCGAAGTCGCGGCCGGGGGGAGCCTTATGCGCGGACATGGGAGGGCGCGGGGGGGAGCCGACGAGGCGGAGTGGCGCGCGCTGTGGCCGCGCTGCAGGTCCGCAACGGCGGGGCTCCACTAGCGCGCGAGGTGCGTCGCTGAGTGGAGGCGATCAAGGGCGCGGGCAGCTGAGGCGGCGTCAGCAACAAGCGGAAGCGGCGGGGGATGGATGAATCGCTCCGCACGCGTCGGGTGGAACGTGCGGATCGACTACCGGGGAGTTTGTCGTCGTGCCGAGTTGCACCCACTTATCAGCACGCGCGCAGCAACGCCCAGTGGGTCAGTGGGCCAGTGGGCAATCAACAGGACAGGAAGCTTTCGCGTATCACGAGTGCAGGCGGACAGGGATGTGGTAGTCGCAGCAGCAACGAGAGCTTCTACTGAACGGCTGGTGTAACTAGCGGCGTGACGTGACGACTAGGTGTGGTACGTTCCTCGATGCGCACTCTATTCTACAACCCCGCTGTGGTCCCCCAAATTCCATCCACAGTGGAGAAGCGCTAGAACCGTTTTGTAACGTGTCCCATCGTACTCAACCTTTGTACTTCATACTTTCTATTTGTACTCATAACAATGAGAGGACTTTATTTAGAGCACTTGTATTGTAACTCCACATAAGGGCGTGTCCAGCAAGTACGTTTCCTATGTACACGGATCACGGTTCAGTAGGATACATTGTGTTCGGGAGCGGTTCTCGCGCTTTGCCACGTTGGACAACTGTCTTAGAACTGAGTAATGAATGACTAGAGAACCAAGGTACAAGCATACATATCTAAGGGTTGTACTCTCTAAGAGGTGACCCTATACAGTCTATACAAACATTAGATATACAAATGTTTGACACACCCCCTAGACTGCATAGGGGCAGTTCCTGAACAAGCAGCTCAGGGCAGCACTACTAGTCCAGCCACTAAGACAAGGGTCTAAAGACCAGTCAACAGGAGTACAGGCAAGGCAAGAACAAGACCAGGGCGGCACTACTAGTCCAGCCACTGGGAGAGGACACAAGTCCAGTCTTAGTAAATATATATATAAAGGACAGTACAAAGTCAAGGCCCTAGCAAGTGAGAGGCTACAGGAACTAGACCAAGCTGTACACAGTGCCGTTGATGATCTTTAGGCGCAAGCGCCGTCTGATTTTCAGACGTCCCAAAATCCTAGCAAGAGCCCTGGTTGGCAACCTATAAATTTCGGCTAAGTCCCCCCAAGAGTCATTCCTCATATACCCCTCGCAACCCAAGATTTCAGCTAAGTCCCCCACTCCCAAAGACATTCCTATCAGAAAGAATAATTGAACTAGAATGTGTGAGTACAAGGGTATATAGAATAGGGTGTTGTACCCTCTAAGGCACAATCCAGTATAGTCTACAGTAACGACCTAAGTTATATAGGGGCAGTGCCTAACAGGGAAAGAAGCAGCTCAGGGTGGCACTACTAGTCCAGCCTCTGAGGCAAGGGTCTAAAGACCAGTCAAAAGGAGTACAGACAAGGCAAGAGCAAGCCCAGGGCGGCACTACTAGTCCAGCCACTGGGAGAGGACACAAGTCCAGTCTTAGTAAATATATATATAAAGGACAGTACAAAGTCAAGGCCCTAGCAAGTGAGAGGCTACAGGAACTAGACCAAGCTGTACACAGTGCCGCTGATAATCTTTAGGCGCAAGCGCCTTCGTAAAGATATCAGCTGTGTTGGCACCGGAGGCCAAGTGTACTACGCGAGCCTGGCGGCGCTGCTGTAGCTCGCGCAGGAGGAAGTACCGCAGCTGGATATGCTTCGCTCTGCCCTCGAGTCGAGGCTCTGGAAACAGGAGGATCATGGCCCTGTTGTCAGCGTACAGGACCGGGGCAGAGCTAGGCCGCTCACCTAAGTCAGTGAGCAAGAAGGTCAGCCAGCGGAGCTGCTGTGCCGCCATGGCACCGGCGTAGATCTCGGCCTCACAGCTGGACTGGGCAACAGACGAGGAGCGGGTAGCTCTCCACGAGACGACACCTGAACCAAGGCTGAAGCAGTAGCCCTGGGAAGACCTGAGGGTCTCGACATCGTCTGCCCAAGAAGTGTCTAGTAAGGACCACTGGCCTGCGTCCTCCTAGCACTAACCCCATACCCGATGTACTTGCGAGATAACGCAGAGCCCTCTTAGCGGCAGACCAGTGCTGCAGTCAGTGTCTACCTGTGGCCACAAAGCGAGCCACGATGCTGAGAGGGTATGCGAGATCTGGGCGAGTGCAAGTCATCAGGTACATGAGGCAACCCACCAGCTCTGCGTAAGGACCACTGGGCTCCATTGACTCCTCAGGAACTGGAGCGGAGAGTCTGTGGTCTACAGGTAGAGGGGTGGGCTGTGCGAAGGAGAACTGAAGACTGAACCTCTGAAGGACCTGGCGCACCAAGTGTGACTGAGTCAAAGTGATGGTGCGCGCTGCTCTGTCCCTGGAGATCTGCAGGCCAAGGTAACGGCGCAGTTCTCCAAGGTCAGTGCAAGTGTGTCTCTTCAGCAGCTATGCCTTCACCGAGGCCAGTGCATCCCTGTCTGCTGTGGCGAAGACCAGGTCGTCTACGTAGACAACGATGTAGAACGGAGTCTGGCTAGCACGAACGAAGAGCGAGGGGTCTGCAGAGGACGGAAAGAACTGCAGGTCAGCAAGCGTAGCACGCAGCGTCTCGTGCCACTCACGGGGAGCCTGCCGCAGGCCGTAGACGGGGCGCCGCAGGAGCCACTGGGTCCCAGGAGGGAAGGAGCCAGTGAAGTCCTGAGGGCGACGCAGGTAGACCTGCTCGTGGAGACTGCCCTGAAGAAACACAGTGGAGAAATTGAGGGAGTGAAGCTCGTAGTCACACTGAGCAGCTACGTGTAGCAGCACCCGAAGAGTAGTCATCTTCGGGGTCGGAGCGAAAGTCTGAAAGAAGTCCAACCCCTCATGCTGGTAGAAGCCTCTAGCCACGTAGCGCGCCTTGAACACAGGCGGCTCTCCAGGAGGGCGCTTCACCTTGAAGAGCCAGCGGCCGACGACTACGTTCACCCCAGGTGGGGGAACTGCATCGACGAAGGTACCAGTGGATATCCAAGATGCCATCTCCTGCTCCATGGCAGCTATCCACTGAGAGGCCCAAGGTCCCGAGGTCGCCTCAGCGTAAGTGCGAGGGGTCGGGATGTCGAAAGCGTCCGGGTCACCCTCAGGGACTAGCAGCATGGAACAGAGATGGGGAGCAGCCTCGGACAGGAAAGCAAGCTCGAACTGGCGGTCCTCCAGGACGTCACTACCGAGGGCAGGAGCACCCCCGACAGACGGAGGACAGGCAGGGTCAGAGACCAGAGCAGTGGAGTAGTCAAGGCGGTGGGTAGAGGCGAAGTCAGCGACCGTAGCGACAAGAGCCTCAAGACACGAGACCGGAACGGACGGGTCGGTAACGAGAGAGGCGAGGACCCGAGGAACAAGAGAACGAGCGGCACGAAGGTAGTCAGACAGAGGAGAAGGCGCAATGGTAAGAGAGGACGGAGGAGGCGACGGTAGAAGGGGAGGACAAGACTTGTGGTAACGGAGCAGCATAGGGTGAGAGCGCGTGACAGGGGAGACAGGACGAGCGCGGGAGGGACGGCGGGACCAGACATGAGACGGAGGCGTCGGGTCAGGTTATAGAGGAGGGGACACAAGGGGGGAGTGAGCGGGAAGACGAGCCGGGGACGAGTGCGGCGGAGGGAACACATGGCCGTAGACAGGAAGAGGAGGAGACGGCAGGAGAGGAACTAACGCGGGGTCAGGGGACAGAAGGCCGAGCAGGCGAAGGGCTGACACCGGCGGGGACTGCTGCTGCGGCGGCACAACAGCGACATTGGGACCGCAAGCTGCTCCTCGGCTACCTCCGAGACACTCCACACCGGCACCCCCAGAAGGAACACCCCCAGAGCCCGAAACCCCTCGAGCACCGGTACCACCCGCAGGACTAGCACCCACCCCAACGTGAGCACCCCCAGAGTCGACGAACGGCTGCTGCGACTGCGGCGGCGGCGGCGGCGGAGACGACGGCTGCGCCAGCAGAGGCGACAGCGGCTGCAGGGGCTGTGGAGAAGGAGACACCTGGGGAGGAGCGAACGGCGAGGACTGCGCCGCAGGACCACCAGAGTCAGAAGACTCCTCGACCGGGACAACCGACGGGAGAGGGGTGACGTGGGACACACCAGAGGGGGCAGGACGGGGAGTGGGAGGGGGGGGGCCAGGGACCACCAGGGAGGGAGTGACCAGGAACAAGGGGGGAGTAACAGGGGGACCGCGGTGGGGGAAGCGACGGTAGAAGGAGACGGACTCGTCAAAGGTGACGTCGCGAGAGTGAAAGAACCGGTGAGACGGCGGGTGGTAGAAGTGCCAGTTGGACGCGTCAAGGGGGAAACCGAGGAAGACACAGGGAAGGGTGCGGGCAGTGAGCTTGTCCGTGCCAGAGGCACGAACGTGAGCAAGGCAGCCCCAGACGTGGAACGCAGACGCGTCACCAGGAGACCCGGTCCAAAGAAGGGTCGGCGAAACCTGCGGCCGCTGGGGGTGCGGCCACAGGTTAAGCTGGTGAGGAGCGTAGCGCACGGCGAACGGCCACAGAAAATGGGGTGCACCGGCATGGATCATGGAGGTGCGAGCCACCTCCATGACCAAACCGATGCGTCGCTCAGCGACCCCATTCTGCTGTGGGGAGTCCGGCAGGGTGAACGTCTGGGTGATGCCCTCCGCACGACAGAAGCGACCAAGGACACTTCAGGCAAACTCGCCACCACGGTCGGAGTGGAGACGCAAGACAGGGAGACCTCGGTGGACATGCGCAGAGACAAGCTAAGGGATGAGAGCGTCAGGCACGTCGGCCTTTCGCTCCAAGGGAAAGACTGTGGTGTAGCGAGTGAAGTCGTCGACAAGCACGAGGAAGTAGCGCTCTCGACGCGGCCCATGGATGGGGGCGGGGCCCCAGACGTCCATGTGCAGGGTCTGAAGTGGCGCGGCGGTAGGGGGAAACCAGGAGGAGTGAGGGGCACGGCGGAGCCGACCCTCGACATAAGGCGTGCACAGTGGGGCGGGGGAGGAGGGAAAAGTGGGAAACAAACCGGGGAGACCATGGACGAGACCGTGCTGGGACATGTGACGCAGACGCGGGAGCGCAGGGTGACCTAGGCAGTGGTGCCACAAGAGAGTCAGGTGAGTGAGGGACCGACAGGAGCAAGTAGCAGCAACCTGGGAAGACGCAGCCACCTGAGGGGGCGCCCCAGCCAGGGGGGGTCACGGTGTCCGGGGTGAACAGGCCGGACACCGGGTCCCGGGGGAACGTGGAAAGGGGGGCACCAGTGGCGGCCTCGGTACAGACAGCTTACTGCTCGTGTCTAGGGAACGTAGTGGTGACGCCAAGGTCCTGGAGGCAGCCGACACCAACTTGGTTCCTGGAGAACGAGGGGA